AAATATTATAACAATCTTAAATATAGTATCGTATCAATGATACAAAGGTGTAAAATCATGGTTTTACATTACACAGAAGCCTGACTTTTCTTATATTTTCTGTTTCCGCCATTTACTTGCTAAATACAATTGATAAATCTATTAAAGTATAACGTTTAAACGTGTCGCAATCCAATAATCAACAAATTCCATCTCTGTGTATTGACGAATTGGTTTTACAAGCGAATGATAAAGTTTTATGTGGCAGTTACGTAGCAACAATAGCCGGAGAGCGGGCCAGGACTTCGGGCCTTTAGTGCATCCGATTACCATACAAAAACTTCTATTTCCCGAGCTAAATGGCACGTGAGAGGACATAAAACTGCGGCAAAGCTATGTACAGCATCGCTTCCATTTTCTTTTTTATTCCTCGCTTTTGTGGGTTTTATATAAACATAAATGTATACGTCGTTATGTAAATGTTCTATTACTTGAATACGATTTTAATCTGTTTTTCTTAATATTTACTTTTTATTTTTGTAAACTAACAGAACGATGTATTATATGATATGAAAAATCTGTTGCTAAAAAACTTTATGAAGAAAATCGCACAATTTTATATACAAACTACATGCCATTACCAGTCATGCGAGTTTATTAAAAAAAACAAACGTATCATTGTCAATGGTCGACGAGGTTTCTGATAAGGATCTTTGGATTATCACGTTCCCTACAAGTGGGGTCTGGTTACTGAATTCATTTTACTAATCGTGTTATTGTCTCGAAGAGTATCGCTAATATGGTGTCCGCGCGCGCCGGCCGTTACATCTGATAACATTTGATATGCTAATCACTGGCAAATGTTCGCGTAATGACCGTACGACGGTTTAGCGCCTGCAAGGTACACTCGTGGTTTGATGTGATGTTTTGAACAAACACTTTTAATGCACGGCACAAGCAAAGATAAAATAAACTGGTGTTAGTCACTTATAGGTGGCCAGTGCTATTTTAATGCTGACCTTTTTGGTTTTAACAAATACTTTAAATGTTAGGAAAAACGCGGGAAGCAATAGATTAAAGTTTATTTGCCTGATAATAAGAATTCAAATCAATAACTACGATATTTTATTGTTTGTGATAAAGCAAAGCGTTGTCGTTTATAAATGAATGATTTTGCAAGGACAGATTTTGCCATCAGCCATAGAGCGTAAAATAAATTCGAGTGTACATTAAACGAAAGAGTATTTAGGGGTTAGTTGCACTGCGGCGGGCGGATTAAGATTTTATCGGTAAGAATATGACACGGAGTGCGCGCGCAGGGATCGTTTGATCATCAGTTAGCTGCTAATGCCTTGTAATGCGCCCATTGTTCTCAGCTCGCTGGCACATGATCAAACTGTATGCTTACCACACCAATACTTTGAAAGCGAAGTACGACAGAAATGCTCACAGGATTTTTTTTAAAGTATTATATAAAATCATTTTGTTTATGAATTGCATAAATAGTTTTCTAATATGGATTTAGTTCAATAAGAACCATTTTGATCGGAACATCCTATAGTCAAATTATATGAATAGTTCCCGTCAATTAAAATTATAAAAGAAAATTCTCATCAGGGCATAGACGTCGTTTAATATCGTAACACATTGTCACTACTCTTAGTTAACATAACATATGAAACAGCCAACTACTGAGTTATTGCCGATTTATTTAAAGGAAGACACATTGAATAAATAATGTTTAGATGCAGGTCGTTTAAAGTTTTATCCAATCGCATCGACTATCGATCGCCACCCAATCTCTCCGGCTACTTTTCCACCCTCCCTGTAAAATAAATCGCATTTACAACGTTTCAACCTCGCTAACATGTTAAAACAGAACTAATGGACATTCGCTTCAGTCTCAGCCCGCAGGAGAGGAATAATACAAGTAAAATGGTCCCATCTCCACGCTTCATTAATTTTATTGCCCCGAGGCGCTCCGCTCAAGTCGGAACGCCGCCGCTAGCGAAAACACGACGTTATTGTGTTGCCAGTGAGTTAAATTAAATAAACACACGTCATTATCTATGCCTCGAACTGCACCGCATCCTTTGTGTCATAGACAACTGTCATCGTGGTGTGGCGCGGTAGCTAATCCTTTAGCTGCATACATCGAGATGCGGAGGCGATAACAATGAGTATTTCGCTAATGTAATGTAGATATTAACGCTGGAGCATAACGGAACAACTCAGACACGGCCTTTTTTGTCTGCGGCGACACAATAGGATTATTCTCCATTGATCATTGCTTATGATATAAGTAGTAGCGGAGGGTGTGTAACATGAAAACTAAATTTGGTTTATCGGCTATTATGGAAAATAGGTGTTAATGTTGGAATAGTAATTTATGGGGCAATCGTGACTTCCGTGTTTTTAGCGAGGTTATACGGTTTGTGGCAAACACCATTATGTTCTGAGGAAAACTGAGGCTTATTGCGATAATCCAAGATTTAAGAATAAGTTTAACTTTACATTACTTACCACTGCAAACAATTGCAGTAAACAAATTTAAAATTATACAACCATTCTGTAAAAATTCCCTTTTCCGAGAGTCATAACTTTATGCGCTCATAATATTGTTTTGTTAATTACTTTAAAAACCTAAAGGATACTAATTTAAGTAATGAATAAAAAAGAAACAAAAGGTTATGAGGGTAAGTAGAGGTAAGGTTACATTCTTTAGAGCAGTTCCCGAGTCCCGACCTCACAATGCCCTCAACTACTAATATTTACTTTACTCCGAGAGCGACAAAGGGCCGGAACTATTGTTTGTTGGAAAAGCTTTATTTCGCGACCCTCGCCGCTCCTCGCGACAATAGGTTACCCAACTTAAAAATATATTATCTCACTTGACGTTAGTAAAGTGTGAACATGCTTAGTATTGATACGACTGAATAAGAAACAATTTTATTTTTATTAATTATTTGCATTAAGGCTAACGGATCTATACGCAAAAGAGCAATATACGGTTTTAAAGTAAGCTAAAGTTAGATTATTATCTCAATAAAATTGTGAATAACTTTAATCATAGCAAGCATGGAAACATTAAAAATATATTTTAAGAAAAATTAACGAGAAATGAAATTTGCCAATATCCTTTATTAAATAGAAGGGCATATCCATATCTTACTAACATTCGACCGGGGCGGGGGCACTATAGAGTTGAAAATTATCCCCTTTATGAACGACCTTAAGCATAATAGAGAAAGCACTTAAGCCATTTTCTCCGCCTTTAAGTGGCGTAAGCGCGGTCGTTTGCTGCCAACCTCGTGAGCTAGAAAATCAGCTATTACAACCCAGAAGGCTAATACGGCCCGTCTCACTGTTGTGTACGAATAGTGGGCCGAGGGCTGTGGGGAGAGGTAGAGTGAGGGACGGGAAAGGATCCGGCGTATGGGGAGCATTTCAGGCTAATGTGGCCATTGGGCGGCGCTAACAGCAATTAGGCTACAAGCGAGCAAATGGATTGTGCATTACCGACGACATAGATTGATTTATTGGCTCGCTCAAGGTAGCGATTGAAACCGATCATATGTTTAAACCCCTATATTGACCAATAGTAAAAATGCCTTAACAATGTTACAATTTAAATTAAATATTTACAATGTTTAAGGTAAATAAAAAAGGAAGTGGTTTGAAATAAGGTGATTAAAGGCAATACTCATAATACATTTAGAATATTTGTTCGATGGCTACGCATCTGTTTAGCAAAGATCCTTAAATTCTAATTCGACTTGTACATATTATACTACTTGCAAATAAATAAGATAAACGTGTCGTTCCGTTAACATAACGTAACTAAATGAAATTGATCCATCATTATTCAGTAACAATCATTGATATCCATTACATTCTTTGTGTTACCCTTTCACGTAAAAGATGACATCTGTGAGTTGTCGGGCGTGTATGTGCACATCTATGAATAATAAATGTGCCGAGCTAGCCGATTGGGGAAATTGAATTTTATAGCTGGTAACACATTCGAGGACAGATGTCACAAAATGGCCGCGCGCCGCCGCCGGCTACGTGCCATGTGATCGGAATGTCAAATGGAAATCAAAATTAGGTCGATTGTATTGTTAATAATTAAATAACGGTCGGCATGGCTTCCACACTTTGTAAATATGCGTGGGGGTGTAGGTGCGAGCGACATTGTGATTAACAGAGTTACTTCTGTTTGGATGGACAATTATCAGTCCATTAAGGAAAGTACACAATGAATGATATTTCATTACAATATTGAGCATTTTATTTCCATTAAAATATTCATTCATAATATATTGAAAACTACATCATTTACATGGTGAGTGGATACTAATGAAGTAAGAGGTAACCAATCTTTTATTTTTTTTAAAGAATTGGAATGGAATGGACTTAGAATATAAACATCATCAAGATAGTCGATCATGAAATGGCTTTTATTATATTATATGCAAATCGTTTAAAATGGGTAAGGTTATAGCATAAAGTTAGAATTTTCTAATAAAGAAATTCAATATTATTTGTCACAATAATTTAATCGTCGACGGATAACATTGCTGATCGTTTTCCCCTCAGCTTTCGTCTCCCTGAGCACTTCTGAATTAGATAAATTCGCGCTATCCGTTTACATCATTAAATTTTATGAGCGGCGATACAATAGCGAGTGCCATCGCAAAGAGAGGGACTTTTCCGCCTACGAGGGTACCCCCAACTCGTATTTCCTTTTGGCACGAATTAAGCAGACTATTAAATCAGCTTTGAGACGTATGATGGATCATAAAACTGTCCAGACAATGGTCAATACATTCATATGAAAACTTCTTAGAGGATTTATGATGTTTTATAACTAATAATTATATTCACAAATATCTTATAGTTTGATAAAAGAAAAAAGTTTTTTCTTTTGCTTGATTTAACTACTGATACATGTATGCAGTAATAAAAAGTTAACTTAAAAGATACAAATATCAGTTTGTAAATAAATGATGAAAAATTTCTGCACATGAAAAATAAAAATCGTAACGGCGTGTATTATCTATGGAATAAAATATATACTTTTAATTTATACGTCAATCAGTGTACTCGATTAATTGAATTCACCCTTAACAATGTCAAAAATAACTTCGTCATTTACGAGTAATAGATAGATGGCGTGCCGTGAGTTATTATGTGTCGCCAGAGTTAATCTGTCATAAATGTCAGACGGACATGACGATCCGATGGCCGGTCATTATATCAAGCATTATCACCAGTACCAAATCCCAAACAAGTGCTCCTCTATTGGCCATTGTTATAGAAACTATCACGCAATCACGACTCCATTAATTCGAAATAATTCATTCAAAGGGCCGATGACCGTTGATGTTTCTACCGCAATATAATTGACTTATTACGAGCCGAGTATATCCGTAATAACCATAATTTCTTCAAAATGTCACAGCAAATTGTTTGATTTACTTTTAAATATTTTGATCAGGCAAATACCATTCAATTATATTTGCAGCTGTATTTTTTTAAATGTCAGATGTTACAAAATAACCAAAAAGTATTTGTCAAAATAACGGCCCAGGTGTGATATGGTTTAGCATCTTTTGCGTTAGATTTGGATCAAAGACACAAGAATAGGTACTTATTACCATTTTTAATGATGACGGACCTACGTACGCATTGTTTTCTATTCGTATTAATGGTTTTCTTCTAATGAATTTCGGCATTTCTTCATCACAAAATGTAAAAAAATGAGTGAATTATTGTTTGCTATTATTTATTTAGCGTATTAACGTTAATGAATATTTATTTAATCAGTTTCTCTGACTATAGGTATTCCGTCTAGCTTTGTTATCTGTTGCAATCTGTTGGAAGCTTGAGTGCGCCAAGTTTCCACGTCAGGCTGATTCTCACACAGAGGATTTCCAATAAATACTAAGTCTCTCAACGCTGGACATTCCTGCAAATATGTTACCACTCAAAAAAAAGTCCCTAACCTACTGAATTAGGGAATTTAATTTAATAAATCTCATCCAATGTCATATGTTTGAAATTTCGCGACCACGCACGCGAGTTCGAATCGAACAAGTACGACTAGTCTAAATTTAATTATCAAATACATTGCTATGAATTCTACCAACCTGCAATCTATTGAATTCCACCCATTCTTTGATCAAATTGTTAGAAATGTACAGTACGCGTAGATTTTTCATCACACCAATTCCTCTTAATTTATCGATCGGATTGTAACTTATCCAGAGCTCTTCCAATGTTTCAGCAACGGTTTCCTACACAGATAATATTTTAACGTTAAAAAGAAATATAACAAAGAGGTTTCGTTTGTTATAATAAAAACTTACGATCCCCGCCAAAGATTTTATGTAGTTCCTCCCAAGGGATAAGATCTTCAGACTTCGCATTCCAGCGATTCCGGCGATTTTATCAATCATATTGGATGATAAACTTAGTTTTCTGAAAATGAAGAGGTACTTTAATACAATATTATTACGCATTTTGGTCTTTTCTTGTTTATAGATTCTACTTAAACGATATAAGGAGAAAAATAGTGTAACTTCACTTTGTACAAAGCTTAATCTAATCAATCCATTAGGTGCTATAAAAATATATTAGCATTTCCTTGCTTATGCCGGCTGTGGCACGTCTTCTAGTAAATAAAATAAATCCCGAACTCATATCTTATTAATAATATAATTGCGAATGTTTGGATGGATAGATGGATGTTTGAGTGTATCTCCAGAACGGATGCATGGATCTCGCTGAAATTTGGCATATAATTTGGTACAAGACGCTGGAATAACACATAGGCAGTGGACTAATGTATAAGTTAATGAAGTCTTTTTTCATTCCGCGCTGATTGTTATAAAATAACTTACTCGCAATTAACAAGCGTTGAGAGCGCTCCGTCCATTTTCTCGATCGGTGGCCACTGGAATTGTAGCTCTATAACTTTTGCCTCTGTAGCCACTTCTTCTTTCTCTTTCTCCCATCGTGCAATAGCTTCTTTACATGTTGTAGGTTTTAATGCCATCACCAAAATCTATTAGGTTTCTCTAGTAAAACAGGTTGGTGTCCACTTGTATTTTACAATGTTTTGACATGGTTATATTTTTTGACATTTTTTGATGTTGTGACATATATATTTTTAAAGATTCGACGGTATTTAAGAAACAAGTTTTTGTCGCTGAGCTCTATAAATATGTATAGAGGTCAGTGGTTTTTGTGTAATTGGATATTGTGCCTGTAATTTAACAAGAAGAAATTGTAAATTCAAATTAAAACACACATTAAGTCTATCGCTTGTTATATAATAAAAAAATATTCTAATGCGAATGTAATTAGTAAGAACTATACGAGTGGAGGTTACAAGAAAAAATAAAGTTGATGTTATACGTGCCCGCGTTACATTATATCCGGACTTAGATCCGGGGTACCCGGGTGAGCTGGGTGATCCGGGTGAGTCGGGTCGTCTTGGTTGGACGCCGGTAATCACGTCGCGCCCTCACGCCTCCCCTGACGCCGCACTCCTCCCCCGAGCACCTCATCCCCCGGTCTCCACTCTCTTTGCCCAACGGTTGCTCGCTGAATTTCAAGTGACCGGATTATGTGGCTTCCTATTTTGAAGGATAAGGGCGTTGTTTTATTTACAATTTAGCTTTATGTCGATGTCAGATTTAAAATCTTGTTCATTTCAAACGATTTAACCTAAATTTGTAGATTTAATATTAAAACTAAACAAAATCTTTGGAAAAACTAAAAATGTGTTACTGCTTATAATATTTTTTAATCCCACTCACAGTGTTAAACGGTTCTTAAGCAATCCCTTACTATGTTTCTTTAACTAAGTAAATCAACACGAAAGTTAAAGGTGAAAATAATGCAATATTAAGCTAAATATTGTAAAAAGTTGTTACTATAGTTACGTTGTGAGCGTATCGGGGTCGTAAGCGTTTTTTTTCCATAATCGTGAATGCACTTTGAAAAGAGCAATTACTAGAACAGAATTAATCTTATTCGAGGCAAGCTTATGTAAACATCGCTATTAAAATCACAAATATTTTTTCCACCCCATAGGCGACACAGAGTTGCCAGAGTCGCGGCACGCGCCGGCACGTGTGGCCTCTGGAATTAGTATCCACAGCGCGTGTCTCAACTCACTGACACTTTATTGGCGAAAAGCGTTCACACTCATCGGATTTCAGATTTTTATTTTAGCAATATAGATACACGATAGTAATATAGGTACTTTAATGAAATACCTATCAGTAAAAAAGTAGTAATTAAAAAGGGTTTCCTTCCGGATTCCATTGTACAAGAACTTGTACGTGTGAGCGATATTTATGTTGAGGCTACCTAATATAGACCACGTCTAACAGTACTGGTGTGCGTTGTCGGTAGTTCCTTAAAATGAGTGAGAAAGAAAGCAGAACGAACATAACTTGATACTTCAATATACGTATATCGTCAGGTTCATTCTAAAGAAATATATGTGCATGGTGTATGGATGTAAAAGAAATAAAGAGAAGATTGTCAATGTGGAAGGATAAAGCCAAAGGGAAATTTTAATTAACGTGTACCCCTCTGGTTTGCACGCGTGAGTATATGCTTATCTATACTTAATAATTGAAGTAAATTATTAGACTTTGAAGTTATTACAAAAACGCCTACCATTTAAGATTCCGCAAAAGTTTGAAAACTTCTCCCTTAACGGAAGATAATATGATGATTTTTATTTCTGTTTTTTACATTGTCATTTAGATACCGATTTTAATATATTTTAAACAAATACCTATAAAAATGGGCTATTTCAATGAATAAAAGCTTCGTCATAAAATGCGGAAGGAATTTTGTACGTAACATGAAAATACTATTTAATGGCAAGTAATAATGAAATGTCATTGTCAAATTGTCAACACAACGTCAGGGCATGCGTATAACCTCAAAAATGAATAAACATTGAGCACACACTATATTATTTGTACCAGAAAACAATCAAATTAGTGAGAATGGACGATTTACAACTAAATATTTCATCTGTTAAAAAGGTAAGTCTATATTATATTTTTCTTATAGCTTGTACGATCCTTATATAGTAGTTGCTACATAAGTACACTGATATATTTTTTAGAATAATAAGACTAAAAAAGGTATTGTGCAGCAAAGTAAATCTTCAGAATACAAATTTGTACCAAAACCAGTTGTAAGTGGTAAAATTATTGCTAGAAAAAGACCACAGAATGCTCACAACAAGTTTTCAAGTGCAAGATCAGATGAACCAAAACAAAAAGTGTCTAGGTTAAATGATGCACCTGTTGCCACATCTAATGACTTAGAAACAAAACTTAGAGATCTTAGTGAAAACAAAGGAAAGTTTAAAGATAAAAACTACCAAGAAATTGTTGACGATTTGCAAGTAAAGCAAAAACCTAGAAGCGGAGGTTGGATTTCATCATTATTTAAAAATAACCCAGACGTGCCTCGAATAGGCCAGAAAGCTGTTAAACCAATTGTTGAAAAAGTATTTACTGCTCAGACTTTCTCAGAATTGGACCTTCACCCTCACAGCATTGCCAATTTAAATCAGAATTTGAATTTGAAACAACTTATGACAGTCCAACAAAACTCTATACCAGTTATTCTACAGGGTAGAGATGTTTTAATTAGGTAAGTTCCTTCTAAATATTCATTTTGCACAATATTACTCATACACTAAGAATATAAATATAATTGCTAATTATCAACAATGATACCCTACCAATACAAAAAATATTGTATGTTTTATTTCTATTTGGGCTTGTAGGTCCCAAACAGGTTCGGGGAAAACATTGGCATATGCTTTACCAATCATAGAGGGCCTCCAAGCGATCAGACCAAAAATAAACAGACATGATGGCATTAGAGTTATTGTTGTTGTACCAACAAGAGAGTTGGCGGTTCAAACTTATGAGCTCTTTGTGAAATTAGTTAAGGTAGGTTTAATTATGATTATCATAATGTTGAAAAATTATAATATAATATTTAATGATGATAAGTAATATTTGACTGATGTTATCTGTAGTTCTATTCAGACATTACATATTAGTTTATTCATGTATATAGCCTTTTATCTGGATTGTACCTGGTCTTCTGAGTGGTGGACAAAAGCGGAAAGCAGAGAAAGCTAGATTAAGGAAGGGACTTAGCATATTAGTGGGCACACCGGGCAGAATAAATGATCATTTGAGGCACACACATTCCTTTAATTTTGCTAAAACTGGGTGAGTTAATAATAATTTCTTGACTTATTTTATATGGTTTTTATTTCCTACTTTACGCTATTGAATTTCTTTTATAAAATACTAGTGGTCACTGTGACTTCATATGTGTTGATTAAAAAGTAACCTGAGTTACTCCTTCACGGAAGCTATCAGCAAAATTCCTATTAAAATTGCTCCAGTCCTTTTGACCATTACCTGGAATAAACATGAATTTGAAGACAGACAGAAATTTTTTTTTGAATTGTAATTTTGTTATAAGCGACACATGATTTTTTTCGATATTATATTATACATAAACCCACCAATTTTATTAAATCTGTAATAGATATGTAAGTTAACATTTTCTTACCACAAGTTTTGGCTGCCATAAAACCTATAAACATAGATTCTGCCATCTCACATTCTATTAATAAAATAGGTAGCAATATTTAGATTTGTCTAGGGGTACTCACTGTTAGAATAGTACAAACATTTTAAGGAAATTTCAGCTGTCTAGTCTTGGATGAAGCTGATCGTTTATTAGATATGGGATATGAAAAAGATGTAGCAGCAATTGTAAAAGCTATTGAAGATCATAAAAAGGCAGCAACATATGACCCAATTGCCCTTATGAGACAGTCTGTTAACAAAAACATTTCAAATGATGAGAAATCTGTAGAGAATGCATCTACAGAAAATACTGAAGAAAATCAAGTAAAACATCATTTAACAGAAGTGTTTTTATCAAAAAATAGACAAACTATTCTTTTATCGGCAACACTTACAAAGGTATTGCTTTGTTCATAAATTCCTATAAATATTGCATACATTAGGGTATTGTAACTTTTACGTCTTGCATTTTTAGGCAGTGGAAAATTTGGCCGGTATTACTATGCAGGATCCAGTTTTTGTTGATACTTCAGAAGGAAAAGTACTTGTAGCAGATTCATTAAAACATATTGGGGATTTAAATAAAATAGATGATAATGTAAATAATAAAAAAGATAAAATTAAATCAGATCCCATATCCCCACAAAAACCTAATCTTGCTGCAACACAAAAAGTGGAGAATAATCTAACGAATTCTCTTAATAATATTGAAATAAGAAGAGGTAAAAATCAAGTAGTACCGTATTTTTTGTTTGGTTGTACGTGTTTATTTAATGAATGTAAAAATTTTAGGTTTAGTAGCTTTTTCAGGGATAAATATTGAAGATCAACCTAAAGATGTGAAAGATGAAAAAGCCAGTTCAAAAACTGCAACTAAAAGAAAACACGAAAGTGACAGTGATTCAGATTATGAATATTTTAAAGTACAAAAAGAATTAGAAGCAAAGAAACCTAAGAAAGTGGAAGAAGTAAAAGAAATTGAACCTATTAAGAAAGATAATGTATTTGAAGAAGCAGTGAAATCAGCAGTTGTTGATGACGAATTAGTTCTTCCTGCTACTGTAAATCAAAAGTTCTTAATCGTTCCAATGAAATTAAGACTAGTAACACTTTGTTCTCTTATTGTAGAACATTGTTATTTGGACAAGAAATGTGGTAAAATGATAGTTTTCATGGCGACTACAGAAATGGTCGATTATCATTCTGAATTACTGGAAACTGTGTTGACGGGAAACGAAGCGAAGGTGAAAAAGAAAGAAGATAAAAATAAAAAGACAAAAACAAAGAAGCAAAAGAAGAATGATAAAGGAGATGATCAGGTAAGAAATAGTTATTTTTATTTAAAACTATTTTTAACAGGAAAATACAGGATACTCACTTTTTGCCGCGACTTCGTTCGCGTAGAATTAACGAACTTAGTAAGTAGCCTATGGGTCTTTCCAAATTATGTCCTCTCTGAGATCCGTTCAGCTGTTTTGGAGATACTTAATAACATCCATCCATCCAAACTTTTGCATTTATAGCATTAAAATAATGTAGCCAGAAGTAAGATTTTACGAGATTGTTGTGTATTTTTGGTGATGGTAATTTCCTTCTTCCTTTTATAAAAGGATTCGTCGGAATCTTCGGATAATTCTGATTCTGAATTTGAAATGGAATACGAGGCACCAGACGAGGGTGGTTTAGTGCCGATAGACTTGGATGTGTTCAGTTTGCACGGCTCAATGCCGCACGAGCGAAGAATGGAGGTTTTCAAGCAATTCAGAGCTGCTAAAAGAGGATTATTAATATGTACTGTAAGTAATACATAATTTACAATTCACTATAGTATATTTTTTTGATTGTATTTGTTTCTAATCCTGTAAATTTCTTTATCATATCGACTTTTTTTTAAGCATTTATTAATTACAATCCTTTGGCGCGAATGACGTGCTCTCGTTATAAAGTCTAGTGTCAGAATGATTAGTAAGGGGACATAGACGTCGACATTTTAGTAAGGCTAGTGTTGTGCCAGTACACCGGCACAGTGTCGGGTTTTCTTCCTAACCGTATTTACTGTTGAGGTTTAGAATTCAACAGCTGACCATTACAATCCAGTGACTTTAAACTATTATCTATTGCATGTTTTGTTTTTTATTTGAGTAAAATTTAATAACCATTTAACTTCGACTTCCGACTATTATAATAAAAAAGAATAACAAAGCTATTGTGTTTGGTAAGACGTAATTGCAAAATAACCTAATATGGCTATAATAGACAAATTCAAATGTTGTAATAGTTTCATGATTATAACACGAGTATTATGTACGCAAACTAATAGCCGTTTAATGGTCGACTGCGTCGCTTTTGCAATGGCCCGCGGTTATTATTGACTTCCGGACGATTAATTTAAATAGAGTTTACCCGTCAATACTAACTGAACGTTTATAGATTCGCACAACACTAGCACGATTAATTTTGCAATTATATTTGCCCATATACACTATGTGTAACCCGGGACTCCGTCTGCGTGGAATTTTCCAAAAAAACTTCATTAGTAGCCTATGTGTTCTTCCGGGCTATGTTCTACATCTATGCCAAATTTCAGTAAGATCTATGCAGCTATGTTGAAGATACCTTCTAAAATACATCATTCTAAACATTCGCATTTATAATATTAATAACATTACAGTACTATAAAAAAAAAACTAGCAATTCCCACTGCTGGTACTTTTTTATATATACCAAAAGATTTTCTACATTTCTAATTGCAAGATTGACCGTTATTTAGTGTACTGAAAGTTCAATTTGCAGTTGAATTTTAATGAAACGACAAGAGTTTATAGAAGCCTAAGTTGATCATAACCAACTTGGGTAAGAAATAATTGCTGTCTAGACGCATAACGATTGCACTTTATCAGACATTTGATTAACATTTTATTGTCGATGTTAAAAGGTGCAATTACTGTTGTGGCATTTTTTCATTGTTTTTTTTGTCTTAATTCTGCACTGTGCACCCTATAAGTGATGATGTGCAGGTGTTTTAAACCTCTAATAAACAACAATCTATACATATAAATAAAATTGGAGTGTCTGTTTGTAATATTGAAATAACCGATAGCTGATGTAATAAGTAGTAACTTAGGCTACGTTTATTTTAGATAAAATATTTTATTTTACAATAATAAAGTAATGTAGCAATGTTCAAGTAATGATCAGTACCGAGCGCAGCTCAAAGTATTTCAGGCGGACGAAGTCGCGGGCACTACTAATACGAAATATAATCACCATTCAATGTCGGTTATACTTGATATTAAGTCTTTATTAATTTAATGACAAAGCACAATTCATGAAGGTTATTCTTTACTTTGTTATCTTTTAATCGATCATTGGTCAATATTTTTATGGATTTTTTTTAAGTTGTTCGTGCATTTTATTATGCATTGTTTATGTGAGATTAGTTAGTAATGATTGACAAAAACTTAGATGTTGATGTTACACGTAATAATATTTATTTATTCTACATTGTATTGCTTAGATTTACAAATTGAATCCTTACTAATATTATAAATGCGAAACTAACTCTGTCTGTCAGTCTGTCCTTCTTTCATGCAAAAACTACTTAAGCTATTTAAATGATATTTGGTACACAGATAGTCTAGAGCCTGGGGAAGAACATAGGCTATTTTTTAACTCCAATAAAGGGTTGTAAGGAGTTGAAAAGGTGGTTGGAATTTTTTATGAAAGTATTGTCATTTTTAAAGATAGAATCTTAACACTTATTTTATAGGTTGTTAATTTGATATAAATAAATATGACATTAATGTTTTATAAAAATGTTATCCTCAAGGGTGCAAAATAACAAGAGGGAATAGGGGATAAAAGTTTGAGAAGTATTAGAATATACGATGTTTTGCGAGTTTAATTTTTGTCGTTATGTTCTATGAGTGTTTGTAAAATAAAGACTAAGACAAAATTTCACGCGGACGATGTCACGGGCTCAGCTAGTTTTTCATAAAGCTTTCAAATATTATTAGAATATATGTTTGTATGTGTCATATTTGACCTTGAACTGCGTTAAAAGATATTACAACATTTATACTTTTCATAATTTCAGTTCAATTAAATCGTAGTTATTTTGATTTAAAGTTGTTTCGCGTGTTAAGTTGTCGCTTAAGTTTAACATTGGTAATAAAGAAGTGAAGTATATCAGCTTTAGTAATGTTTCGTTTAGTATATCACGTTTAAAATTATCAAATGAATTTATTCTACCAGTTTAATTTAATAAAGTTAATTAATGTAACATTGTCGCGACGTTTATTACGGAAGGCAATCAGAGTATATGTGCCGGTCGGTCCAATCCCGGTCGCCGCGGGGCGCCGCTGACGCCGCGGGCCGCCGCTGACGCCGCGGGCCGCCGCGACCCGCCACCGCACATTACATTCTATAATGCTTCTGTTCAACATAATTATGTGCTTTTATAATTGCAGTAATCAAAATTTAAAATTGTCTATCTAAATTTATCGTGACAATGTCAGATTCTTTTTGGTTGATTTTTTTTACGTGTTTGTAGTTTAGTTTTTTGCCTAGATGTTACGAATTAGGACACTTATTTTTGATCACAATAAGTAAACGATGAATGATTTAGTAACATTTATATGAATATGTTTCGTTAGTTGTATGTATGTTTGGGTAGGACGTTGCCGCCCGAGGTCTGGACGTGCCGCGTGTGGACCTCGTGCTACAGTATTGCGCCCCAGCCTCCGCCACCGATTACGTACATAGGTAATTCCTATCTTTATTAACATATTATAGATATGTATATATGTAATTTAAAAATGCATAAAGTACATATTGCTTTAAGTTAGTCAATATAATATTTACTAAAAAATGCGATCAGGGTGGGGCGCACAGGGCGCGCGGCGCAGGTCGGGGCGGCTATCCTGATGCTATTGCCTAGCGAGGCCGAATTTGTGAGACATTTGGAGCAGAAGAGAATCAGGTACTATATATCAGATCTAACAAGTCCTAATAAAGTTTACTTTTGTAGTTAGATATTTATCTGTGGTCCTTAAATTTTTATAGCTTTCCTATTTACCAGTCCATCTTTACAACTACAATGAAAGGAATATATTGAAGAGTTTGTTTGATAGGCTACGGCAAACGGACGAATCGCAGTCGTTGGAAGCACTGCGCACTTTAGCGCCCACTGCGTCTAACCCTGCGCGTGCCGCCATCGCCGTGCAGACCCGGCTCGAGCATACCGCGCACAGTCACCGCGACTGGCTCGCGAGGGCCAGCAGAGGTATACTTCTTTTCAAATATCTTGGCGGCTCAACAGGATGCTGTGTAGTGTTTTCCCCCGTATTCCGCTATACTACTCTATAATGAGAATTATTTGAATTTGAACTGCAAGATGTGTCTTAACTTTGATGATTTTTAAGTTTTTTTAGGCTTTAAAGGCCCTAAAAGTTACGGAAAATTTTTCGCTTTTCATAGTTTACAGCAATATTTCAGGTCGGATGTAGTAGTCAATTGCACCGAATTACTTCATCAAATTGTCTTAACATCTTTATCAGCGTATACATCTTGGGTCCGTTCCTACTCGGGGTATCCGCGCGAGGTGCGTATGTGGCTGGACGCCCGGCAGCTCCACCTTGGTCATGCAGCGAAGGCGTTCGCGCTCCGGGAGACCCCCGCCGCGCTGGCGAGAAGGGCCAAATCCGACCCCAATTTTAAGAAGGAAAGACCGGTCAACCGGTTGACTATTCATGAAGAGGAACAAAAGAAACGACCAGGGTTAGTGTATACTTTATTGATCTGGTTTAATTAATCACATTTATCTTAGTGCCACTAACAATTTGGCTAAATTTTACGTCAAAATTTCTCTAGTTTTGTTACGAACTTCATTACTGTTGCTTTACATTATTTCACCGGATGAAAAACAACAAACTAAAGAAAAGAAGTATGTTTCTAACGCTTGTGTGGTTTATTCAGGTTCCCCAAGATGAAGGCGGGCATGTTTGGCAATAAGGTTGTCAATAAACAGAGCTCTATGCACACGGCCTGCGAGTTCGACAGCGGACTGCCCCCCATTGACACCTATAACTTTAAGAAGAAGAATAAAAATAAGCAAAAATGAATTATTAACGATACGGTGTTATACAAAAATGTATATCGAATGTTTACATAAATGTTTATACAGGAATTTGTTTGTTTTATTAATTAATTTGGAACCTCAACTAGACCTTTATGAGTTTGTTGTTACTATGTTGTTCATCTAAAATCTATATCACTACGAAGTATTGAGTAAAAAATATAAGCGGCTTAGCTAATCGAAATAAAAAATGCTACAATTGATTTAAATTGAAAGAACCTAAAGTGGTCAATAAATCTTAGTAGCACAGTTTTAAAGG